ATGTATATGAGACTATAAACTACGGTTAGTATGTATAGGAGAAACTTTGTTAACCCGACAAACGGCGGGCGTTCCGAAGACTTTGGCGGCGCATAATATTAAACCGGGGATCCGGCACGTTCGATAATATTTTCCAAACGCTTCCCCCCTACACCGTTTAAAAAAAGAGTTGAGTAAAAAAAAATCCAACAAATGATCGATGGATAAAAACGTTCTTAGCTTTTTTTTTTTTTTTTTTAAAACGAATACCAAGAAAAACTGAATACATAATTATACTAACATAAAAAAAAAAAAAAACAGTATGTATTATATGTTATAAATATCGCATGTTATTTGCGAAACGCACAGTTTGTAGACTGACGCTGTGTAATAACAGTGATGGAATTTACCCAGAATTTATAATTGACTCCCAGAATTACGATTGACTTTTTTAATACGAAATTATTATACGCAAACGTCTATAAATATTAAATCATCTTTCATTCATTTGATTGAATTATCCACAGTATAGCTATACTATGCTCGATTAATTTGAAAAAAGTAACGTCTATTCATGTTTGTGAAATAGTGAACCTAAAACAGCAGACCGATTGATACGGTGAACTGAAAACTAAATTCCCTAATTCGAAAAGAAACATATTGTTAATAAATTATTTATATATATATATATAAGTTGCGATGGAAATATTTCCAAAGGTTTCCCGAACATATATTTCTTCCATTGAGAAATATTCCCAATAGGTTCGTTAGGAAGAAACAGATTTAAATGCACTTAAAATCTACATAGAAATATTTAAAAACGAAAAAATAGTCTCGGAATAAATACTTACAAAATTTGTAGACATGTATAAAATTCTATTTTTCTATAACAACTGTAACAGTCTAATTTAGTGACTGAATGTAAATTTCACACAAAGAAAGTTTTTTTTAAAATACATTTTTACCTATTATGAAAAATTATTTTAAACTGATTATGTTTGAAGTGAAAACTGTATACGTTACAGCCGTTATAGGACTATTAAGCGTTTTTTGAAAGATTTTCATTGCATATAAATTTATTGTACCCAACTCATCTCTATGTTTGCTACTCTCGCCGTTTTGATTTACTATAATAAATCACTTAAGAAAAGGATATAAGAGGCACAAGTGGTTACCTAGTTTGTTATATATGTATTACATACTTGAAAATTTAATGAATATTATGTAATTAAGGTAACGAAAATATTAAAACACACGGCATCGATGTAATAAACAAAATGAAATGTAGTCGATTGTACATATTTGGTATCAATTATATTACATTTTTTATCTACACGCATTAATTAAACTTGATTTCAATTAATTATAGTAATTTATAGTTTATTGAGAAATGAAAATATTATGAGAAATTATTGTATGATCCACAGTGAATACTCTTCTTTATAATATGTAAATAAGTCCCTTTGCCATAAATTACGAAATTCTTTTGTTGCTATTCTATTACACGTAACGCAGGCAGAGAAAACAAATGTTAGTGACGAGGCCCCTTAAGTTATAATTATTTTAATCAACATGTAAATACTGGGTCTTTTTAACATACGACCAAACTGTAATAAAACTAAATAATACTTGTACATACGTAGGGATATCGTAGATTTATGTTAATTTCGTAATCAAATTTATAATCGGATTTAAATCCCATTTGAAACTTTTTCATCAGAAACCCGGCAACGGGATTTCTCAACATTAAATCCTATAAGATTCATCATCAAACGTCGAAAATATCCTTTATCAAGATTAACATAGTTATTTGTTCATCGAATTAGGCAAGTTTAGAAATTGTATACATTTGTTTTATACGGAATTGACAAGAACAAGTACACGACCGAGATTAGTGGAAGGCAAGTGGCAGTAGCGGAAAAAACTCTTGAAGAGATCTTCTTTTTCTTCTTGACGTAACAGTTGTTGTGTCAAGAAGAAGAATAAAACCGTTTTTTTTTTTATACCGAATGTCAGGGAAAATGTGTATGTAATTAACATATTGCCAGAATTTAATGTATTTATTAATTTTTAATTTGTATATTTGATAAATACATAAAAATCAATGATCTAATTTCGATTTATAAACGTAAATCACAATTTTCTAGTTTTGTTTATTCTACCAAGAAGAAAAGGCTACTCCACTGAACATTTATTTTGATGTGAGAACTCATGAAATCTTATACCTAACAATTATGTACTACAATACTTATATCTATTTGATAACGGGTTAAAAAATTATCACTTGTTTAAATAATTCAAAATTTAAAATTACACTGTTCTAGGAAAAATTAGAGAGCAACTAGCATTTGATTTTACTATTTTGTTTCTGATTTAATTCTAAACAAATATCCATAAGAGTGTATATTTTAGTCGGCTTAAACGTGAAAACCGGACAAATCTGTAGCAGTTGTGTTTGACGGATTTCAATATCGAAGAAAAATTATAATTCGTTAGGTTCTTTATTACTACAGTATACGTTGGAAATAGAAAGTGTATTATTTTAATGGAAACGATAAATAAATTTCATTGATTTTTTGAAAAATGTCCGAAAATGTACTTAAATTTGTTTGTTTTTTATTTATTATGAAGTGAATTTAAAGTTTAAAATTTAATTCCGTCGTGTTCCAGTAAAGAACTTAATATCCGTAATATGCATAAAATTAAGTATCCATAATACGTTTTCAAAATTCAAATCCACCAAATACTTAATACACCAAATACACCAAATACAAATAATTCCAACAGGTTTTCTGGCTTTTTAGTCAACAATTTTATATGTATCCGTAAAAACGATTGTTGTCTTCCCCTTCAATGGGTATACCGAGCAGTAAATAAGTGGAAAAGGCTTATCGGTAATCATTAAAATTTAAAAGTAAAAAAAGACATATATATAGGTACTTCGTACGATGTGCCATGGGTGGACCACTGTTGAGGGTGTGAAGTTGGGAAGGTAAAATATAGAAACGAATTTAATTTATATCTGTAAGCAACGATAAACCGGTGCTAACAAAAAACGATTTGAAGCAGTTTCTTTTATTATTATATGTACGTACAATTTCCCGTTTTCCAACGTTTTTTCTCGGCTATTGCCATTTATTATAAAAACGGCTTGGAAAATCAAAAAAATGACATCTTTAAAGGATCACCCAGATAAAATTTTCTTACAGAAAATCGGAGCAAGATGTCTGATAGAAAAGTTGTTCATAAATAAAAAAAAAATAAAAAATGAACATCATTATAAAATCAATTTACACTCCGAATCTAAAATTTAAATTTTACAAAATTAGAGAACATTTAAAAAACTGCCATCACTTAAAAAATCCTCTTAATAAAAAGTAATCTATTTTTATTAAATTTTTAAATTGGTTTTTTGCATGTGATAGTGAATTACGGTTTTTCTGGCAAAATATTATTTTTATATTTAGTTTTTATTCGTAACCGCAACAAATTGCAATATTATAATTGATTGGTAATCGATAAAAAAAATTATTACATCGAGGTCACCACTCGTAATAAATCTTTTTGAGTTGAAAACACAAAATAATAAAAATATATCTATACCGTATACTAGATTTATTACGTTACAGATTAGGTACATATTATTGGAAAGGAAAAAGAAATTTATCGCACGTGTACATAAAAAAAACTAAATAATATAAAAGAATAACACAGCGGTATAACCGAAAAGATAAAACACGGGTGAAAAAAAATAAATATAAAATTATTTTGTCATTTTATATAAAACATTGTTAAAACTAAAACATTCCCATTATCTTCTGGTAGTTTAATCATATTCTGTTTTTTTAAGTGTGACATATTTATCGTACACAGATATCACAAGTGTATACAAAACAAATATAATGTAGGAAGTATCTATAGTATTCGACAATTTCCTATGCAACTACAAATAGAAAATTTTCAGATTCTGCAGATACACTAACAAAGTGATAGTACGAAGTTGTACAAAGGTAAACCGACACCAAAGTGTATTCTCAATAATTACTAATAATGTTTCATGTTTAAATTTGTATTGCGTTATATTAGATTAGAGGGTAAAATTATTCAAATTAAAAGGTATTAACCTTAATATATGGCATATCGAATGTAGTATTGCTCGGTTATTGTACACTATAACCAACATAAATTTACATTATAAACTATACAGGAATATTATTCGCGATGGATTAAAATAAAATCCATTACTATGTAGATATAGAAAAACGTATGCATTGCGGATTTTACAATAATCAACAGTAATGTATACCAAGTCAATTTAAAAAAAAATTAAAGATACATTATAGTATTCCATATTAATTTACATTATTATGGTTTTTGGGTTGAGGGTCGGACGAGAATTGTCGAGACGCTTTTATCGTAATGCAAAAAATGTGATTATGTGTGTATGTATTTGGTTTCCGTATAGTAACAACATAATCTTCAGTACCGTGTATAAAAAGAAAAATCAACTAGTCAATCGAATTGATATATCAACGAACAGTCTAAACTGCTGGGGTAAGAATCTGGACATTTTGACATTTACCTTTTTATACCTAGGGCATCCACTAAGGAAGTATTTTTGTACATTTCATCTCCAAAACGGTAAAACAGGAGATACAAATTTGTATAAGAATCCATAATTTTCGAAGTTATATATTTAAAAAAAGTACTTCCTTAGGTTTCAAAATAATTATTACCGGAAAAATCCGCGTTTAACTGTAATAGCGATAAGGGTGGAGACAACAAAGAGACACATTAAATCGAATTAATTTTATATTGAATTAGGTTTTTAAAAGATCTGAACAGTATACAAATCTACTGATGACAATCTACTGTTAAGAATCTACAAATGTGGAAACTTACAAATCTTGAATGTAGAATTTTTGAATTTCTAATTATTAATTGCGTTTGATCATGTAAATTTCCAGATTTTGTACAATTCTGGTATATGCACAACACGGCTAACACGTTTACAACCGAAATACAACCTTATGGCTAAAAAAGAGGCATGTCAGCTTAAATTTCATTTTTGCTATTGTCACGCATAGTCCTCACCTTCGAACGCTTCTGATTGGTCGTCAGTGGGAATATTAACTACATGGTCTGGAAAACATTTCATTTGCAGTGTAATCTAACTTTCAGCTAACATGCTTGTTTAGTTATAGCCATGTACGACCTACTTATCCCGCTTTCTATATAATCGCACGATTTAGAATAAAATCAATTAAATTTAATGGGATATTTGCTATTAGCATATTTTGTGTTTATTATCGTATCGTTCACATCTATAATCACGAAAATCATCTAATAGCTATAATATACACTAATATATTATCGATCGTATACAAGAATACATTATTATCATACACAGCGGTAAACATTAATTTCGATTTACAATTATTCTGTTATGGGTTATGATTTATTGATGATAATAACATTGCAAATAATATTCTTATACGTGTACTCTACGATGGCCCGCATGTATATTATCGATTTCTGATAACCCGAGCATTTCTCCGTATGGAAATATTATTTACCGAAACGGTGTCAAGAAATTTGTTCGAAAAAAAATAAATACTTAAACACAATCAAACGATCGAACGTTTGCGGTCGCTGGCAGATACAAGTACCTATACGTATTGTACCCGACGAAAATGGATTAAGATTGTACAGGAAAACAATATTATGTTATCGCTACACACAAACGAAATAAAATAATATAGCCTCATAATTCACTTGGTGACTCGGTTGTTTTTTTTTTTTTTTTTTTTTTTGTTTTTCCGGAGAACTCTTAAGCGAGTCAAATGACGTTTTAGTACATTGAACCGATCTCGAGGGCGCCCGCAAACACGCAGTGTCACTCTTGATGTAAAAAAAGACAAAATACACTTGTGTCATTGCGCGTGTATAATAAGGAGAACGAGCAGCATTTTCGTTTTGTTTGTTTTTTTTATTATTATTATTATTATTATTTTGATCATTTCCTAGTTTAAAAAAAAATCGTATAAAGCCCGGCGTTTAAACCGTATAATAATGTATATAAATTATATAAATATATATATAACTCAAGTAAGTAACTTGCCACTGTCATATCCACGCAGATTTGACATGTCTACGAGACCGATCAAAGTTTCGCAACACCGAGGGTGTTTTTCTTTCCTTTTCCTAAAGTCCGAAGTTTCAAAAAAGTTATACAGAGTTTACTGTAAAACTTGGGGAAGAGTGAAAATAAATTACATCCATTTCTTGTTCCACATTAATAACATCGTCCTCATGTGACCCGGCGCGTAATATGCTTGCTTAAGATAGTATTTTCTCTTTGTATCTTAAAATTGTGCGGCAAAAATGCTTTTCCACTTTCCATTGCACACGATATTTCCTTTTTTTTTTTTTTTTATACGAAAACTTTGTTAGGGGATATATTCTTTTGGTCTCGTAAAAAATAAAATAAAAATATATACATATACATTTATTCATCCGGCCAAATGTTTATAAAAGAGATGGAAAAGTCTGGCTGCAGGTTTTTATAGTTGATCTGCTGCAGGTAGATATGTAAGTAAAAAAAAAAACCACACAAACCACGATTGGTACGGTGGCAGTACGGACCCATCGGGATATATTTTTTGACGTTATGATTAAAGAAATATCGGACGAAAACAATTAAAAAACAACATAAGAACTATAAAAAGTGGTAGACTTTCAACATTTTTCTGGGGTGGGAGAGGTTTCTGAAAATTCATATGTATTTCAAATGTATTATTTTCAGTAGATTCTTTCAAGAATTTTTTTTTTTTATTTTGTTATATCGATATTTAGGGATGAGGTTAAAACCACTTAGACTCCCTTAAATCCACCACACTGACTAAAAATATAGTGGCTTGTGCTAATATAAAAACATCAGTAAGCTGTAGCGGAGATCTGTCACTACTGTCACTAAAATCGAATTTTCTTGTCAGGTTCGCGTTACTTAACCTAATTAGTTATCTGCACATGAGTGTTTAAAACCCTTTATTTCTTATGGAACCCGTGAAATTTGAGCGCTGTAATAACGGGAACAGAGGTCGAAAACCCCCCAAAGTACACTTATTTTCCATATGTAATACTGACGCAAAATATACTGAACATGTCATCTCCCTAACTTAATTTGAAAGGTGAGCGTCTGTAGGGGTGAACAAACCTTAAATATTACCGTTTTTTCGTAAAAAAAAACACGTTTAAATTCATACATTGAAATTTGACCAAATTTGCATTACTTCGAACAGACTGTATAAAACGACTTTTATTTGGGAGTTTGTTTTTTTTTTTGTGTATATTTTCACTCCATCGTCACTTCGTCATGCAAAAAATGACAAAGTGTAAAAATTCGCTTGGTACAAATTTTTTTTTTTTAAATGTCATATACTGTGCCTATAAAATTACGAGAACAAAATCCGTATCATTTTAAATTATTTAATCACTTTTGCATGACGATTTCCTTTTATATTCTAAGTGACGCACGTTACTTGGAATATATTATGCTGTGGAGATCAGTTTGAATTTAGAATTTAATCACAAATAACGAAATTTAAAGAACTAAATTTATTTAAAAAAAAAAAAAAACTAACAGCAGTAATTTTTTTTTTTAGAAAAAAATACCCAAGTATAGCGCTCGGAAATATTCTCCTAATTAAATTTCAATTGCAACCAAAACGACGCGATTTACGTGCAATACCAAAACATTATAGACACACAATCAGCCTAATCTATTATAAAATACTTTTTACATTCGCCCAAGTCGTGGGTATACAAAACAGCGGTCTGAAGTACCTCTATGACGCTTATTATTCCTCTTCTAAGGAACACAACACTGTGAAATGCACTATCGTATCAAAACGTTTCTAAAACTTACATAAAACTAAAAAAAAAATACGATTTGTGGCTTCTGTATTCGCGGAAATCATTTAAATTATTATTATGTATAGTGGTATAGTCAGCGAAATTCAAACGCACATCCGAGTGTATAAAATATATATATAACAATAAAATAATACTCTTTCGCACAAATACACCGGCGAGTACGTACACCGCAGACACTGTAAAGTCTGTAGCTGACTCCGGCAGGAACACGAAAAACATTTTTGGCTCTTGGCCTCAGCGTCTTCCCGTAGCATCCTGCATCCTTTCTGAAACGCGAAACTCGACCCACATATTATTATTATTATTATTATTATTATTATTATATGCTTTTTGTACACACTCGCAGAAACTAACTAGAATAATTCATTTTCGCAAACTATTATGTGTTCGTATTTTACCGTATTTTTGGGTTAAACTAATATCATTATAATAATTTATATATATTATATATTATCAACGTTGTATTATAAAATACGCGTTAGTTTTGTTTGTTTTTTTTTTTTTCTATACTTTTAGACGGAAAAACAAAACGAATAAAAATTGTGAAACGAGAAAAATCTATAGATACCCATTCATATATTACATAAAAACACCCTTGCGCAGCAGAGCTCGGACACTAGAATCGAATTTTCCGCTCAGCCGATTTATCGCCGTCGTAACATTTCCATTACATAATTTATCGAAAATAGTTACGGTTACCGGAGTTTTATTACGTTTTTAATCTAAAAACCCGGTATTTCTCGTCAAAACGTGAAATTTGAGCACACAAATGGTCAAGTAGAGGAAGGTTGATAGTTGAAGCCCTGAAAAGCAGCATCCTCGATACTTACACCACGAATATACAAAAGTCCGCTAGATTAATTTAAGAGGAGGGTCTGTATGGGTGTACACAGCTAGAAAAAGCACAAATCTCCCGCGACGACATGGTTTGAACTTGTATTGGAATTCAACAGAATTCTATCGGAACTTTAATCTGCCGATAAAACGAATGCAGTTTTCAAGTTTAAGTTCATTTGGACCATAGGAAGCTGCTAAAAGTGTCCGAAATTAACGGGAAGTATAATTGTACAAACAGGGTATCCCACGAAGATATACCGATTGCAATATATCGGAAAGTTCTTAATTTTTCACGAGATACATTCCACTTTAACCCCAAATGTAACAGAAATAATATAGCGCAATAGTCTTTATCTAACGATAAATAAAATAGAATATTGTTTTTTTTTGTCGTCATATTTTTTTCTGACATTTACATCGTAATAATATTGTAACCAAATAATATATTATTATATTACCTTTTAAACCTTTTTTTTTTCTTGCGATTTAACCGAAAGCGCTAAGGGATCTGTTTTCACAACAATTTCCCCCGCTGCGTCTAAATGTCTAATATATAAACCTAACCTAAATCAGCCTTGGCAATTATAAATTCTAATAATATATCCGTTATTCCAGTCGAGCGAATAATACGAATAATACGCATGTTTGTTGGCGCGTGTGCATTAATCACACGTTTCTAACTCGCGTCCGTCGTTATAGTATTTGGGGTCCGATATATTTTAAAATAATCGATAAATTCAATAATCGACCCAATCCGTAAAATACGGTATTTTTAATTCGTACTATATTGTTACCGTTAGCTCGAACCACTCTCCCCTCCAGAATCCAGGATTATTTTAGATAGACGTACATTTTTTTTTTCTTTTTAGAGTAAAACGTTAAATCGCTCATTTTGACGGTCGCTCATCATTTCGATAACGCGACGATAACAATAAAAACTAAACGGCCCACGCCTCGAGTAATAATTATTGTAGTTAAAACTTATTTCCGAGATATGTGCGTAACTCCGCCTCATCCCTCCTTTCCCTCTGTATACGCATAAATAATACGCTCGAATCATTCGCCGTTTAACATCGGTAATAAAATTATTACCATACGCGATATAATGAGATATACATATTATTATGATTACATTAATTGACTTTGTCCGGGTCGTTTGTCTCGTACGAAACGTTATGAGCCGTCGTCGTATCGTCGGATATTCTCGAAACAATACCTAACGATAAACAAACAACACTGCCGATAAACAACGAACTTGTTCATTTCGGGAGCGCGCCCACACACGCACACACATACACACACGGTTTGAAGATATCGGATATCGTCCGAATGTACTCCAGTGGTGTAACTAGAACTTTTAAAAAAAGGCCCTCACCTACCCCATAATAACTCGAGTTCGAGCTGCTCGGTTAAAGGGGGGGCCCAGGAAGGGCCACCAGATTCCCAGGGCCTCAGTTTTTGCCACAGTATATATTATGATTTTTTTTGTATGCATTTTTCCATTAACTTTGTACATTTATATAAAAATATAAATATAAAATATAAATTTTGATATTTTTTCCGTTACCTGGTGATTCGTATCATGATTTAATAGAAACTACTATAGTAATTTTGTTAAAAATAATATATTTATTTAAATAATACTCGCGGCTTTTGAATTCGGGATCTATTTTATTTATTATTTTTCTTTTGTTAAAACATATTGATAACTAAATAAAAATTTAAATACCAATTAAAATCAAAAATAAAACGAGAAATTCGTTAAAAACATTGGCCTTGGGGCTCTAAATGTCTTAATCCAGGCTTGCAAGGTAGGTTGTTACTCGCCTTGCCTACACAGTATTTACACTCGATATTTTAATGGCTTTGTTATGGTAATAGAGTTGACGAATTTCCACGGATGTCGTTAATCGGGTGATCCGAAAAACCCGTTCGTTTTACCACAGGGTCGGATGCCCGGTCAACCCGATAGGCTCTGAACGAGTTTGGCTAATGTCAGATGGGAGTGGAGGCTACACAAAATAATCTCTATGTATAAAACCAATACATTCATCGCTCCACTCAGAATCTAAAATGTGAATATCATTAATACACGTCTTGTATATTATAATACACGGGATGAAATGTGTGCAAAAAGCCAAATACCATATTTTCGCATCACTACGCGCCACACGACGAGGAACCGCGGCGGCGGTTGACGACGACGACGATGATAACAATAACGATAATAATATTATGACTAGACTGTTTTTGTCCTCGCGAATCGCGCGTATACAATAATAGCGACAATAATATATCGACACACTTGTCTTTCTTTTTTTATTTCCGTCGTTTACGCGCGCGTAAAAAGTAAAATCATGACTCGGGCGAAAAAAATAAACACTCGTCACTATATTATACGAAAACGAGTGCGATACACGCACGTAATAAACGCGTGTGCCGCACATACGCTGATCGAAAATATATACACTCGTACATTAGAAAACTACAGAGTTATATTTTTATTTATTTATTTTTTTTTTTTTATTTTAGCTCTCGCAGAGGAAATTGCTTTTAGTTTTATATATATATATATATATACATATATACATATAATATTATACACATTATATGTTATTTATGTATATTTTTCTCTTTCTCTCTTCTTTTTGCAGGACCTGCCGACCCGGTGCCGGTGTAACCACGGATACATAAGGTC